CAGGCAAAAGTACACCTGTCCATCACAGAATCTCTTCTATTTTCCTGTCTGAGGCCGCAAATTTCTCTCAACTACTCGTTCAAAGCCGGTCCCGCACATCTTCAGGGCTCTTCTCCGCTTGCACGGCCTGCATAAGCTTACTACACTGCCTGCTGCCACTACTTTTCTCCCCACTCATCACAATTCTTTGCAGCTTCAACAACAACTTTTCCAGGATCGCATTGCAGTCCTTAAGGTAGATCGTCAACGGCTTCTTTTGAGGGATTGTTTCAATTGAAACAGAGAAGAGCGGTCATAAGCCTATCTCCGAGGCAGAGGAGACACATGGATACCGTAGCGGCGAAGCCAAGCACAGTCAACCCATCCTTTACACTCACCAGTCGGCAAGAAGAGCTTCTCTTCGCTGCCCTCAATTCGAATAACAAAACTGCGAGCAACGATTCTTCCTCAACCAAGCCTAATAGCATATTTACAATGGCCCCGGGCTCCTTTACTGAGTCGCCGGTGCAAGCACCGGGCTCGGGCACTTTGAACGGTTTCGAAGATAGCCCTTTCATCGACTACGATTACGAGTTTGATCCTGATGGAAGTTTTGATTACGGCTTTGACAATGGCTCTCAAGGACAAATGATTGGTAAACTGCCTGGGACATCATCAGATGGTGATGCTGCAGAGAACCACGATAAGCGAAGCCATCCTGACGATGAGGGAGATGAGGAGGAAGGAGGCGGAAAGCGCAGAGAAGGCGACGAGAAATCATCAAAGAAGCCCGGTCGCAAGCCGTTAACCTCTGAACCTACATCTGTAAGTATTCTACATAAAGTTTTCAACCAAGGCCTAAGCTAATACACCCGAAGAAGCGCAAAGCTCAAAATCGTGCCGCTCAACGGGCATTCCGGGAGCGTAAGGAAAAGCATCTTAAGGATTTAGAAACAAAAGTCGAGGATCTTCAAAAGGCCTCGGAGTCTGCCAATCACGAAAATAGTATTCTTCGTGCTCAAGTTGAAAAAATGTCGGTGGAGCTTCGCGAATACAAGAAGAGGCTTTCTGTGAACGGAGGCCTCGGACGAACTCCATCTTTGAACAGCACTCTCCCACCATATCTTGCTGGGAAGGGCCTTAATACATCCTTGAACAACCCGAATGATGTTAACTTCCAATTCGAGTTCCCAAGATTTGGACGTCTTCCTGGTCCCTCTCCAACCTCCACCTTCAATGGCTCCAGACAATCATCTTCTCCAACCTTTGTAGGAACGGCAACAGCAAGCCCTAAAGAGCAATCGGTCAGCCCTCGTAACCAATCTTTGCAATACCCGGTGACCAACAGTAATACTGGCTCTACTATTAGCCTCACAAGATCGCCTGCCCAAATTGACAATAATGGGGATATGTCCGCTCTTTCCGGGCTTTTCAGCCCTTCAATTCTTGAAAGTGTTGGAAAGAGTCCCCAATACGATTTCTTCGGAAATGCAGTCAACGCCTCAAACGGCTCAAGGTCAAGCACAGACTCTGCCAATGGAAATGGAAGTACAGGTCACAACACATCATATAGCTCTCCTTCGGCATCCTCTAATTCCAACCAAGGACCCAGCTCGTCTTGCGGGACCTCACCCGAACCTTCTATGCAATCGCCTATATACAACAAACCTGCTGATCCCACACTAACAACAATTGGGGAGGAGCGCACTTGTGATACTCTCGGCGAAGGTGAGCTCACCTTCTGCGATAAGCTCAACATGGCTTGCGGCAATCCCAACAACCCCATCCCACGTACAATGTCTGATCCTGCTACGAATTCAGGAAATATCGAGAACCCTGCTTTTGACATCAACGGTATTGACTGGTTCGCACAACAAAACAACAACCAATTCGATCCACAACTCTTTGGCGATTACAGAGAGCCGCAGGATAACATTCTTGCTGGTGATGCCTTTGCAGATAGCTTCTTCACTGATGCTTTTGCTGTGCCTGATTTTAACAGCCCATACAATATTGAACCTAGCCCGGCTTCCGTCAAAAAGGACTTGGTCTCTCAAATTGACGAAAAGCAGAGTGAGGATGACGAGGAGGTTGTGCCCGGTGAGGACACCTCTAAGCTCTTGACCTGCAACACTATTTGGTATGCTTCCGATAATAATGACTCGAGCTTATCTGCGCAAAATTTTGCTAACAATACCCCAGGGATCGTCTCCAAGCCTGCCCCAAGGTTAAGGAAGGCGAGTTTGACCTTGATACGCTCTGCAAAGATCTCCAGAAAAAAGCAAAGTGCTCCGAGACTGGCGCCGTTGTAAATGAATCAGATTTCAATAAGATAATGAAGTCGTACGTCGATAGCAAGAAAAACGATGCGAAGGCGAAGGCTTAAGCTTATCGATGTATTTGAGCGGCATTTTTGGATCAGAGGCGTTGCAATTATATCAAAAGGCCTATGGGTAGCGCCACGGAAAGGATTATGATCATTGATATGGCGTCGTGATCGAAATGACACAGTGGATATTTGATACGGAATTGATTTACGCCTACATTATGGGATGGTGTTTTGTGTACTACATGATCTGGTATGATCTGGGATTGGTGGTCATTGATGAACTTTTGATATGTATTTGAACTTGAATTGGTCACATACGTTTTTGGCACATACAACACAACTCCTTACGCTACCTTAGTGTGGGTCTTGGGGGATGATTCTCAAACCAGTCTTGATGCTTAATTTTTCTTGGCTCATGGGGTGTCAAATCTTATAGCGCTAGAGATCTCTATTGACGGTGGGGCATTCTCCCAGTCTCCACGGATCTCAAGTCTTCTCAGTCTATAGAGCAGCACGTTTCTAGTGTTCTTGTGTCAAACGCAAACCCAGAGCAAGACGCCTTCACACAGAAGTTATCTTTTAACAAGCCCCCCACTTTATTTTCCAGACGACGAACCCCCTAGGCATATGCCATGTCCAATTAACGGCGAATTGCAGATCTTGCCCTAGGACTATGACTCGCTCACCATCACCAGCTTTCCTATCATTTCTCTCACAAAGAAGGTAGAAAGGTGGAAATGGATTGCGACGCTTGAGGAAGAGCATCAGTGTCTATTGAAATTGTGGCCTTGGGCTACCTTCCCGGTCGATCTCTTGTGTTAGTAAGAGAAGGAAATCAACTATTGTTGTTAGATACAAATCATAACTGCGCAATACCATATCTGTTCAGTAAGTACTGTAATACCTTGGTGTCGAGTCGACAGAAACGAGACGAGCAAAGATCTGGTATTTAAATTATTGGTTTGAAATGAGGGAGGTGGTATGCCGAGTAGGTATATACGATAATACCAAGCTTTTATAGCTATTTCCAGAAGGTGGCCGAGTGTGTGCGACTTTCCTGTACCTTGCAATTGTGGGGAGCTGAGATTGAGAGCTCCCGTGGGGAAGGAAGCAGCCAGTGGAAACACTTGCTGATTTTCAGCGACTTATCATTTCTTTTAGATTGTATTTAAGGTCCAGATAGTGCTCGAGGTGGCATCCCCTTCATTCTGTGATCTGACGGATGATAGAAGCCGAGGTTATTGTAATTTGGGGTGTTAAGGGAAAGTTGTATTTAGGACAACTGTTAGGTACTTCCGGAAGTTGTAGTCAAAGAGTTGCTGTCCTCAAATAGTTTAGGGGCTATACTGTGAAGATTACCACTTCTGGTCAAAACTTGAGAATAGGTATGTTTACTGTTCTTGAAGACCTCTATGATTAATGCTATAACTTCCACTCTCTGTCTCTTGATTCCAGAGGGTCTTCTAGTCGATTTATAAATTAAAGTAGATTCACGAGCTGACTTAAATCGTGAAACTGCGTTATGAGGGCTGCTCATTCATGAATTTATTAGATAGTCTACCGATGGTTCGGATTCGCGACATAGCCCAGAGCTGTTATCCCCACCTATGAATGCCAACCCCTCTCGATCTATTCACAATTACCGTGTATAAGAAAGCTACAAAAACTAGCCCCCGTTCCTCATTCCTGGCCTTTTCCTATCACTAGAATATACAATAAACTTTTTATCCTCAAACCCAGGCAGAAAAAGCTGTTAAACAGCCAGTTTTAAATAAATAAAATTTTAAAAGGGGAAGCAATGGGCCACCTGCGAGGACTTGACTAGGCCAAAGGTTCCCATTATGAAATGAGTATATGAGAGTATGAGCGTATGAGCGTATGCTTTTATGAAAAGAAGTCCACAACGGCCGTTGGGATGAGGGGGAATATTGGGTCGCGGGATTACATACTTACAAATCGCTGGTTTTTCAATTTAAATGCTTCTAGGAAGAAATTATGTGGATACTGCTTATTCTGTAAAATATGCTACTCGTTTCTCGTTGCATTATTGTTCCCTACATACTATCTAGCTTGACCACCTTCCTGCGTTCAAGGTCTATTGAGAGACAAACAAGTGTCCTCCAGGTTCTGCTTGCGAAGGAAGCAGCACAAATAGCCCACCATAAATTTAGCGAGGTTATTCACCTGATGTTGTCTTAACGAAGAGAACAACTTTGGGGTCAACACACATGGCCGAAGCACTATCATTTGGCTTGTGGAAAGTGGGGATAAGCGAGATCACTGACACTTCTACAAAATGCATGTAGATTTGCTTGCATATCTCACTTTTGATTTCTTTCTATTTGGAACAGGGTTTTATCAACCATTATAGATAGAACTGCATATACACATCAACACATGTTGATCCGCAACCATAGCGACCTATTCTTCAAATCCGGACCATCTAAGGAGTTCATCAGATAAAAAACTCTTTTGGGGTTTCTTTTCATTTTAAGCCCAGTAATTTTGGGAGAACCCTTTCGGAGTCCACTCTAAATAATTTATTCTAGCAAGAAGAGCGATATAGGGGCTTGGAGCGTAGGAGTAATAGCCAATGGGCTTCCTAATTAGTAATTAACTTATCAAAAGGGAGATTTAGGATAAATTAAGATAAAGGAAGCAAAAAACTTGCAGAGTCACACTCTGCTTTCACCGACAACGACAGGATTTGAACCTATGCTCCCGAAGGAATGAGATTTCTAGTCTCACGCAATAACCACTCTGCCACGTTGCCTGTTGTGTTAAAGTGTAAGCGTTTAATCTAACCTATATTCTGTCCAAGTTCAAGTTGGTGGGTTGGGAAGTAGGAAGGAGGGGGACGAGGATTTGCCGAAGCCATTGTGATGGGAAGGAACAGATGAGTCCACCAGCGGACCTATATTTCTGAGATATGGACGGAGTGAGTGTTCTGGTTGCAATGGGGGAATCTCTTGAAGTCTTCAAAGCGCAAAGGGTGCTATTTTGGTGACAGCGTATGGAGAGTTCCTTATTTCATTTGAAATCTGTAGCGGCGATCAGGACTACAAGTCCTTCCTAAGATAACATCATCCCACAAGGATTTAGAATTTCTTATATTCGGAGACATGGGATATTGGGCATATGGCAATATACATACAAAGCAGTATGGGTGTGGCATTGGGCGTGCAGGTCATTGTACTTAGCACCGACTAAATTTCCCTTACGACTAGTTCAGTAAACACAACAACGATATTTGGAAAAACTATTATACCCAGGCATTTACTACCACCTCAAACATTAACACCTTCCGGAAGCAATCCGAGAATGATAGGCTTGCTCGGAGGAGCCATAAAGTGATCGACGGCCAAAATGTATGATATAGATTGGCTGACATTCTCTTCCTGCACTCGTTATCGTCTTCCAAGAATGTAACCCCGCTCTCATTCATACGCGCAAACGCCTCATTCTGCGAGGGGACATTTTAATATACATGTGCATATATTACTCCTCAGCTGAGAGTTGAGGGTGTGAAAACAGCATAAATCTCTTTACTGACACAACTCTTCTCATTCAGATGTGGTGAGTCCGACATCGCCAGAATGTAGTGCCTTACACAGCAGGATAATAGTAGCACACCCTAAAATAACATTATATATAGTTTCTCAGCTGAAGAAATAAGTCATTGTCGCTTAGGTACACTCAGTGTAACTCACCAGCGCTTGCTTGCGGTGTCGCGTAATACAAGGACATAACAATTAGAGTAACAAAATTTAGTTTGTCTCGAACACAAAGACAGGATCCACATAAGAGGATTGGCACCTAATGAAGGTATCATATCTACAAAGCCAAGCATGATGCGGCAGTGGTATCTCAAAGTAATGTAACGTACTTTCGCTTCCGCTTCCGCTGCTAGGCAAAACTATGCCACCCACAGATGTATGCACCATCCGCTTTCTAGCATTGGGCTTTCCGCACTCCTCGGATTATCTTAATATCTGCTAGCCCTCTCCCCCCTCGGCGCTGGATGGACAGAATATGCTTCCGTCGTCGCTCTCAACAAAAGAAATAAACTCCCGCTTCCCTGAAATGCAAATGCAATTTCTCCCATAATACAACCAACCATTTGCCTGCCCATATATCCATAGTACCCTCTCACTAGTCTTTGCCGTTAAAAGTTTCAGTCAGTTCTTGCGTGAAACTTTCCCTATCACGTATGAAAAATATTCAGCCGTGACAAAGAGCTTCACCGTGCCCCGCTACTTATGACAACTCTTGCTCCCTCCTTGCCTAGTATACCTCGTTCTTGGGGCTTGGGGCTGTGACCGCGGCCTCTCTTTCTGCTCAAGAAGCCCAGCATTCCATTTGGGCGGGAATCAGCTTCAGCCAACTTCGCATCAAGCGGCAGCGTAGCATCCTTCTTCGCTAACTCTGTCCAGCTTCCTTCTGGTCCAAATACGACTTGCATACCACCACTCGTAGACTCTTTGCGTGTTCCTCCCGGTCGTGAAGGACGAGAATAAGAAGGCTGGTAGGGCGATAGCGGGCTGGTTGATGATGATCCTGTCTGAGAGGTGTTGACTGAGGGCTGTCGCTTTCCGCTTGGCTTCCCACTTTGATTTGGGTGGGAGGTGACGGAAGGTTGATGCGCCTTACTATTGCTAGGAAGAGGAGGAGCGTTGTCTGGCACTGGTGGTGATCCTGCGGGCGATGTTGGCGCTGATCTTGAATCCTTTCTCCTTAGGCGTGAGCTTGGACGGCCATCAATAGGCTTAGGAGCACTGCTTTTTGTGCTTCCAGTCATGCTACCGTGGATACTGCCTTCTTTTGTAGCTTGTGGCGAGTCTGGGGCTATACTATCCTTCGAGTTGGGGTCATTATCAGCATTGTACCTGGTCATGGAGTTAGTACTGGCTTGGGGAAGAGGGGACGAATAGTCAAACCTCTCAAATGCCGCAAGCGTGTAATCGAATGACGTGAATTGACTCTCAATCATCTTGTAAAGCTCGTCCTCCCTAATCTCCTTCTCAGTAGCATCATCCTTGAGTTGCTCCCTTGGCTTCTGTCGGCGTGCCCGAGCTTCCAGTGGTGCTTCCTCCAAAAGCAGCTCTTCCAGGTCATAAGTTGCATCGAAATTTGTCTTCTCGCCAGAGGGAACAAAGATCGGCTCAATCTCCTTGCGTTCCAATGCCTCAAAATCGATGGGTCTGAAAAATGGATTATCGGAGAAAGTTTCAAACCCAGCTGATCCCATACGCTTTGTTGGATCCTCTTCAAGCGCGGAGCTGATGGCGTGCAGGCATGGCATGGTTACTGCTGGCGAGGTAATTGGAAAATCGGGACTGGCTTTGGTGATTTTTGCCGCCAGTGTCGAGTGGGTGCTTCCTTCAAACGGACGCTGCGACCATAAGTTAGGGCACTCGATATATAACAATGAACGAAGATCGTACCTTATTATAGATACACTCATAAAACAGAACACCCAACGACCACCAATCAGCACCTGGACCATAACCATGACCTGTGTACACTTCTGGCGCAAGGTAAGCTAAAGTACCGGATTTGCTTGTCAGCTGTTTTCCAGCGGTGAAATCAGAGGCGACATTCTGGTTGAGATTAGCAGGCTGTCTGGACTGGTGGGCGGATCATGGGCATACAAAATCTGCTAGATGGATATGGCCTTCTGAGTCCAGTAGGACATTATCCGGTTTGATATCTCGGTGTATGATCCCCTGGCCATGTATGTATCTTAACGCACAGCCTAATTCTGCTATCCAAAATCGCACCGCTTCTTCTGTAAAGGTCTTTCTCGATATATGAAATCGCAAGTCACCACCATTCATTAAATCTACAACCAAATACCTAAGACCGAGTTAGCCGGCAGATCGCGATTGCGGGGAGGTGTACTTACATATACTCTATATCTTGAAAACTATACCGCAGATTGCAAATGAATTGATAGTTCAAATGCTGCAGCATTCTTCTCTCTCGTAGTATATTTCGAACGCTTTCTGATCGAACGACTGTCACGCCATCGATAAGCAGATGCACTGCGAACACATTTTGACCATTCGAATTCACATACCTTCATCTTTTCGGATATATTTCAAGGCAAACGTCAACCCAGTGTCCTTCCTCTCCACAATTCGAACCTTCCCAAAAGCGCCCTTTCCTACCACCCGCAGGAGTCGAAAATGATTGAGGTTGACTGCATAGATCGGAAGGTGTTAGCAAGTGTGAAGACATAGAGCTACTGATAAGAGTCAAGGTGCAATTGTCGTCTTGTCTGATGTAGAAAAGGACATGTAGAATCCCACTCACCCTCGTCCTCGAAGCACACCTGCTTGCCGTGCGAGTTCCCCATTGGCACAGTCTATGTCGACACAGTCTAGCGGATGGAGTTTTGGATGGTATATTCGCCCGCAGGCATGCTAAGATAGAGATATCTTATCATGCAGCAGATGCTCTTGCAATGGTGAATTTGCGTTTAGGAGTACTGGTAGGTTGAAGCTAAATGCCGGTTAACTCGAAGCGAGGGACCAACGGGTTGAATGGTTCTGGGCAGCTTATTCGTAAGGCAAGTGGGATTGAAAAGCCGTGCTGACGTCCGGGTGGGCGATAGGGATCTGATATGAACGATTGCTAGAACTCGTTGTAGGTTTGCAGGTTTGCAGATTTGCAGATTTGCTGGTGAAGATGGAATGCTTCTAGCCTTTCTGGCTGGAGTGCTTTAGGCCTACTGCAGCGCTGGGACAAGGCCAACAAGCTCTGGTAGGGCCCGAGACCAAAATAGGTTGTATTTTCAAAGGGGGGTGTTGTCGAGAAATGTTCCTCATGGCAACTGCATCTGAGACTTTTGCCGTATGCAAGCCACACCAGGCCACGGAGGACGTCGCTGGCTCCCGACTCGTTCAGTCTTCGTTCGATGGGCGAGAAAGACACACTGCGCTTCGCTTTCAACACCACAGCCTTTTCTTCACAGGTGCAGGTGCGGAGGGTTGTCTGGTGTTGCAAACAGCCGAAACCATGGGACAGGCATAGTGCTTTATAAAGCTCCGCCGTTGTGAAGATAGCACACTGGGTAGTGGGCACACACTGAAGCGTACGGGCGGGCCAGCACTGGTTGGTTTGCCCACTCAGTGCTGTCGTCCCCTGGAGGATTGGTGGAGGAGAGCAGCCAGCGAAACCTCCTGAATGGCTAGACCGGCTGTTGAAGGCCACGACGGTCCACTATCCACGCTCCTCGGCCCTGTCGATAACAAGGTGGAGTGCGCCGAAGCGTTCTTTGCAGAGTCATCAGTTAGGGGCGTCACTGCGACGTCTGGTTGGCGAGGGTGGACAGTAAGTGTGCGGCACCAGGGCCTGGCTTGAAGTCGCTTCCAGGGCCTTGCCATGCTTCGTCTAGGGTCCCAGCACATGGAAGCCATGCTGTACCCCGAAGGTCTGCCGATTCGATAGCTAGAAGGGCACTAGAAGACGCCATGAATTCGACAAGAGAAGCACTTTCCAGATGGACTCTCCCCGTTGCAGATGCAGTCAGACTGGAGGATTTGCAACGACCACGAACTGCTTACAGAACATCATCTCGGTCATGTATTCAAGTACTCAGCTTTATGGCCTTCTCACAGCTTCAGACGTCTGTCGGTGTTACAAATTTCCATGCTGGTTTGTCCGCCAAGCCCTTGCTGAGGCCAGTGTCGTCTATCATGTCACCTGCCTGGCCCCGTGCTGGAGCTCAATCCATGGCAATACTCCGTATGGGCCATCACTGCCCCCAAC